AAAATTAAGAGATGGAAGACATTTTCCCAAATATCTCAAAAAATACTGAATATAAACAAATGAAATTTTGTATGGATATAGCTTATTCCATGATAATAAAGTATGCAAGACAAAAATGAAAGTGCCATTCACTGGCAAGACCTATTGCCAATAAATCCAATGTAGTCTGAACTTAAGGATAAAAGATGACAATAAAAGTGAGGCTTGTATAGTGTGTGTTGCCTGTAGTATGGTGTATGGTCACCCCTGACAGACAGACAGCATGCACAACGAGTATGCATGTTGTTAATAAGGGAGTTAAGGAGGACTTGTGGAAGACCCTTCCATTCTTCCACCAGAGCAATTTTTAACTCCAGAATGGCTCTGGGGGGAGGTTGTCCCATCGCAATAGCTCTCCCTAGAGTATCCCAAATATGTTCAATAGGATTCAGGTCAGGGGATTTGTCTGGCCAATCCATTCGTTAAATATCCTCGCTTTCCAGATACTCAGCAACCATGAGAGCCCTATGTGATCGCGCATTGTGGTCCGTAAAAATGAGCTTAGGGCCAACAGCGCCCCTGAAAAGACGCATATAGGGCTCTAGGACCTCCTGCCTGTGCCTCTGGGCATTCGCGGAACCATTGTCAATCACATGGAGCGGTGTGCGGGTATCTTGCATGTGCGAAAATTATTTCCATCTCTTAATTTTGTCCATTAGTGTAGCTTTGACCATACTTTTTTCTCAGTGTGGGGAATTGGGTTGAAAAAAAAATTTGAATCAATTTGATTGGCGCATGAAATTTGGAGGTGCTATCAAACAGGTTCTGATGTTTTCTTTACCACCTCTCAGTAGTGATTCGCCAGGTCTCGATAGAGTTTTTGTTTTTTTTCCTTACTTACATATTAATTTATGATCCCTAATATGTATACTTTGTACACAAGAATTCGAAATTTTTTTATTTAAGGTGGTTATTATAGAATGTGGTGGCAATCTTCACCAATATATTATTTTGTTAACATTTTCAACAGCGTGTTTATAGATTAATAATTTGTAATAGTTTCTTTAGTTTTTAAATGAAGTTATCGTGAACGCGAATGATGATCATGTCTTTTCGAACAGTTAATGGGCTGTGGTAGACCAGTGATCAGAGAATTGGACTCCGGTCCAGAGGTGTCGGGGTTCGATACTTGACTCCGCTATGACCCACCAAGTGCATGCCCTATTGTGCTCATAAAAACTGTGGAATCGAACATCCTGTGGTCGACCGCTGAGAGTGCCATATGGGTACAGAGATCATGAGAAAATTTCCTTCCCCTTCAGATCTATGTCTAAATTAAGAAAGTGGTCTCATGAATGATAGTTGCTGCTATGTTTGTGAGGGGATTTGAGGCAAGACGTATTTTTATCCTTGTGGTGCTTTCTTACCAAACGAAAGTCGCACCTTCCTGACTAAATTCGCTAATGGCTGGTGAACTTGTTTTTTCCAAGTGTCATTAGAAGCAACAACAGAACAGTTGACTAAAAGGACTTTACTGGCAGCATTGTTTCATAAGAATCTAAAAAACTTTTCAGTCAAAAAAAAAAAATTTCTAGAATGTTTTGTTGTTTCTTTTTCTTCCCAGTTTTAAGTCAGTTGGAGTAAAACATAGAAAAACATTTAAAAATTCCTCCCTAGGCTAGATCGGCTAAGTTCAAAAATAAAATTAAAAAAGTATTTTTTAATTTTTGAAGTTCTATTTTCGTAATTTTATTTTTGAAATCATTGGTCACGCTTTCTCAGAAACTAGTGCTCTTACAAAAATTTTGCAAAATGGAATTCGTAGAAACTCGTGGTTGAATAAAATATTTTTTGCTTTTTTTACGAGGCAACGAATGATCAATATTTTAATCAATATAATGCAATCTTTAGTTAAAAAACAATTAAAAATAAAACTTTTAGAAATTTTGGTAGAATAATTTCACAGACTATAAAAAACTCAAAACAACAAGGAACAATAATAATACATATAAATTTAATAAAATCCCATTACTTAATTGTAATAGTTACTTAATATTATGTTCTTAAAATCAGCTCTTGAAATAAGTATTAACAGATTTGAATCAATAGTTGACCTAAATTGAGATAAATTGTTTGTGAATGGATCAAGTCTAGTCCTAAAAGATAGTTAGCAAACTATCATTACCCTAGTTCTACGAACAATGAATCATGACCAAAAATCGATGAGCTAGTTTTCTTGCTATGGTCTACATACATTTAGCCACGTAAATTCTCATAATTACCCCACATTTGTATAAAATATTGCATAGGTTTTGGATTAGTACTTGTATGAATACAACGCAGTTCCTTGAAAGATAAATTGATACTGTACTTAGTACTGTTTTAATGCAATATATAATTAATTTTGAAAATTGTGATTCATTAATAATAAAAAATGTTCTTATTTAAATACGATTAAATAAAGTTCACCTTTAATGCTTTTTCTTTCAAAATGCATGGTTAAGTAATTAAACAACGCAAACAAGTTACGAATTATTGTATTTTTTGGCCCTTCCTGCAATGTTTAGATTAAGTTTTAGTATTTAGAAAATTTTACTTTTTATCTTTTTCTAATTAAATATTAAATGTATTAATTTCATCTGGATTAGTTGCAGTTTCAGAACACGAATGTTAAGTTATTTGAAAGCACTCTAATTAAAATTATTTTAAATCTAATTAAATTTATTTTTAATGTTCATAATCTATTCATAGAAGTGAAATCACTCTAAAACCATAAGAAACTCTAAACCATAAAAAACTCATATAAAACCGTAAAAAAATCATCTAAATCAAGGCTTAATGGAGAAGATATTTTTTTAATATTCTGCTAAATACTGTTTCGCATTTGCAAAATTTTATTCTTATTAAACCTGATTATCGCTATATTTCTAATATTTCTCTTGCTCTAACATTAGTTCGAAACTTCCTGATTTAGTTGATACAGAAAAAAAAAATCGTTCCCATGATATGTGTTTCTTTTATCACAATACAAAACTATCTTATTTGTAATCCATTTATATTCTAAAATTTTATTAAAATATTTCACAAAAAAGTAAAGTAAAAGCTAAAACAAGAAACATTTCACAGAACCTAATTTTAATTTTACAATTCCTTAATTCCAAGAACATAATCACGCATATTTGAATACGGGATTCTTCCATTATGGCCCATAGTGTCAACTATGAAAAAAGCCTTACTGACTCTAGCGTCCCAATATCAAACGGACATAATCTCAATAAGATACTCTAGTATTTCATCTCGTTTTAGTGCGTATACTCTCGGAGAGAGTGGGCCTGGTAAGCGCTTTTTTTTCTTTTCTTCCACCAGTCCTGAAGGAGTTAATAAAGCTGGTTTAAGGCTTATGGCTGCTTTGATGCTTAAAAGAGCATCGTTATTATTGCCATTATATATAAAAACTGTAAACATTAATAATGATGCTATTGCTCACTGCATAACTGCATGTCTTTCAACAGTTTTTATTTGTGTTACTTATTCTATTTTCCACATTACTGTTTTCCACATTACCAACGTTAAATAACCTTCCTATTATTTAAGTAGTGGCGTTGAATAATATCAATATATCAATGTCAGCTTTTTGAAAATTCGGTAACGAAAGATAAACTTAACTAAACTCAGCGGCGCGACAACACATGAGGGCCGACCTTGGGCTCTGGGGTGCAGGAGCAGATGTTCCGGTCAGGTGGTCAGCCGAACGCGGAACCCCCAGTGTTTAGTTCCCAAGCATGCTTGGTACTCATTTATCGACCCACTGAAGGGATGAAAGGTTGAGTCAACCTTGCCCGGCCCGAGGATCGAACCAGGGACCAGTGGCACGACAGCGCGAAGCGCTACCGCTCAGCCACCGGGCGTCAGCGAAAAATGCTTTGCAAATTATTGAGTAATGCATACTTAGCTTTGCATTTGAAGTTCTTTTCAGCAATATTATTGACAATATTACTTATGGTCTACTCTCTGTCCAAGAGATAAAAATTTCCCGTGATTAGTTGCTTCAGAATGACATGCTGCTTAGAAAGAATGCTTAGCAAACCGTTTATATCATATGTTGCTCCAGAGCAACTTTTTACTATCATATTTATCGATTAAAAGTTTTCATGATAAGCTGATGATTACTATGACGAGCAACTTAGGTAAAATTCTTAACAATTCGTGTGTGTTCTATGTTTTCTCTGGAGAAACTTATCTCTGATCTTTTTATCGATAAATATTTTCAATGATAAGTTGCATCAGAATGTTAAAACTCTTAATGAAAAGTTAAAACTCTTAACAGGTCTATCATGTGTTATGCACTTTCTGAGGCAACTTATACTAATATTGTTAAGCTTTGGTCAAGATGTAGGACGACTAGTATAAAAATTTCATGTCTTCAAAAAATACTTTTCGAATAGATAAAATTTTGTTGCAAATTTTTGATAGTTAAATTTTTTTTTAAAAATACTAACTCTCAATCTATTTATTTTCAAAAATATTTGCATTTATACCCTTTTCTATAATGTTATAGATAGAAAAAAATCTTTCGAATCTTCTAAAAACAATTTATTAAAATCTTTCAAAACGAATAAACTTTTTATACTAAACTTTTATACATAATAGATTGTTTACTTATTTATTTTTTACAAAAAATGATTATGAAAATAGAATATAATTTTCAATCTACTCATTTCAGTGAAAAATAATGAAATGAAGCAAAATTAGGTAACTAGTAAACACTAATAATAATCATAATAACATTCCACCCAATATTTCTATTTAAATAAGAAAATTTTAATCAGAGCAAATAGTAAATAATGAGATTTAAAATAGTTCTGAGTTCGATTTCCTCAGTTTCACGTTACTCATATTATATCAATATTAAATTTCTAAGTATTAAAATAAACTAGCAATATTCCTTAATTGAAATCTGTGAATTACCTTTTTTTTTATTTATTCATTTTTCTTAAAAAAAAAACGAAGTGAAGACTCACCTTAACACTAAATGACCAGACGGAACAGCAGACGATAAAAGTGAAAAAGAGAGGTCCGCTTTTCACCGGCATTGTTGATAATAACGAAAGCGATTTTGAAGGGAAGCGGCCTTGTCGTCCGACATAAAACCGAAAACAGCGCCAAGCGTTCTCTTGCACAGCCAAAAAAATCAACAAAATCTCTGAATTCTTATTGGTCCCCTGGGAGATGACTCGATGAACTCTGAATGAATTATGGAGTACGAAATAGCACACCTGTCTAGAATTTTAATAAAAGGATTTGATGAGTTCGAAGCTTCCATTTAGATGTGAAAAAAATGGCTTTAAGTAGATGATGGCTGTATTTAAAGGATTAAAATTTTGAAGGTGCAAAGGTCAAGTATATGCATTCGGAGAATTCAAATTTTAATAAGGGAAGTATTTTGCATCCTCATGCGAAATAAGTTATTAAGCTATTCGAATTCGTAATTTTTAAAATGAGTACGATAAATTAATATCTAACGCCAAATTTAAAAGTATCTATCTCCATTAGTATTTACGCAATGACAAAACTCTAATTTTGTAAAAATAAACAATTTTTCATTTTTAATCGCTTTGTGAAAAATGTATTCAAATACATAAAATCATTTCCAAACAGAAATTTTTCAAATTTTCAACTTATTTGCAGTTTTTTAGATCTAAGAGAAACAGTTATTCATCCTTGAAATTTCTTTAATTTACAAAATCAATTATTGATAAATTTTTAAATATGAATGGAAAAAAAAATCTAACTACTATCGGTCAGTAAGACGGCAAGGAGATTCTAACCTATGATCCGTCTACCACTGAGAATATTATTCATTTGCACTGTGGTTGGTCCAAGCCGGGAGCAGAATTCGTATCAACGAGCCACTGCTGCGATTTGAGCCTAAGGCACCTCATTGAAAGGCTTTGACTCTCTTATTTATGATTAGAAAAACTCTTATTTTTTTTCAATAATATTTAGATTTCAGTATGCTTTCTACTTCGTTCTTGTGTTCGTAACCATAGCTCCATCATTTTTAAGACAACTAGTTAAAAAAGTAGGTAAAATTTTCAAGAGAATTGTTGGGCGCCAGGTGAAATTTTCTAGAGACGAAATGGTGACTATGCACGTGAGATTTTCAGACACTCCTTTTTAATCATATGTGATGAATTTGAGAAAGATATATTAATTCTGACTTTATCATAAAGTAAGCCTGTTTAATTTCAACACATAACGATGCTTTTCTTTTAAATTTTTTAAATAATTTATTTCGTTAGGAAACTCTTGAAAGCTACCAAGATACAAATTCCAGTTAGAACTACTTTTATATATAAACCACAATGTCAATAGTGTTCATATGAAGCTTTCCCACCATTAAGATATTAGTCTAGAGTGTCGTTACTATTAGGCTAACCACGAGCGGTTTTCTTGGTTTACCCATTCCTATAACATAATTGTGTATTTTGTTTTTGTTCAAAAAGTCCTATGATGTTTAATGTTTGATCCGTGAGTTTTCTCGTCTTCTGGGTTGGATTAATAAATAGCAAAGTGAACACCGATAGATATATATCCGGCATGGTTAGATGAATGTTAGTTGCGATTGTAATAAAATAGATTTTGGTGGAATATATTTTATTAGTAAATAATGTTTTCCTAATTTATGTTTCATAATTTAAGAGAAGCCGGCCAGACGGTCGAGTGGTTAACGTGTCTGACTGTGAAGCCAATGGCTGCGGGTTCGAATCCCGCTCAGGGCATGGATGTTTCTCTTTGTATGTTGTTCTCTATTGTGTGAATGTGGCTCACCCTATAAACGGGTATTTGTGGCAGTGTGGCGTGGGTAATATTGCTCGCCTCCGTGACTTAGGTTCACAGGTGCCCACTGGGTAACGATGAATGAGTAATACTTCCGTCATCTTCCTGGGCAAAGGACGTAAAAGTTCAGTGCCTGCCTTGAAGGAAAAAAAAATAATTTAGGAGAATCGCTATTTTGTTTTCCAAATGTTTTATTGATTATTTAAAAAATTATTTACACAGTTCCTAATTTAATAAATAATAATTTCAGCCAATATTAATAAAGGAAATTAGAATAAAATTATTAACAAATGTTCATCATGAAGAAAAATTATAAAGCGAATAAAGTTATTTGTTTTTCCGGAAATAAAAGACTCAGTTTATAGCAATTGTAATTACTGATCGTTTTCATTTACATCCGCAAGTGATTATTTTAAGAGTTACTTGTCCTTAAACTTCAAATTATAAACCGATGACATGAATTACTTCGATTCAGAATCACAATTCACTTGTCATATGAAACAATTATTTCTTTATTCTTATAGAATACAATAAGAACATTGTTCGAAAGGCAGTTTATAGAATTCAGTTAAGATAAATTTCGTTTTCAGGATCAATTTTAATGTGACTCAAATGAGCGAATTGTTCTTTTTTTTAAATTAGAAACTTTGGCGATTACATAATTGTCAAATATAATCGATTATTAAATTGCTCCTGAAAAGCTTTCCACTTTTATACTTTTTAAGACGATTGTTGGTAATGTAAATTTAAAAAGCATAAGTTTTTTCTATAGGAAAATCACTGCATTTTACGTCATTACTTTTGCATAAATGTAAATATTGCTGTGAACTAAAGTCTAATTCAAAAATTCCTTTTCAATATTATGCTTTAATTTATGAGAAAAAGTAAGAGTCTAAAGCTTTGGTTGAGCAAACGAATACAATTTTCGTGAAAAATTTTTCTTTAAATATCGCATTTTAGAAATCGCTTTTTAATTTTTTTCGCTTGCTTTTTTACAAAAATTGCAAGGAAAATTATAATTTTATTTATTGTTCTTTTATTTTTTGTTGTTGTTGCTGGCCCACACGGTTAGCGGAGCTAAACCGAATCCGTGACTCCAGAGACTCTGAGTAAGTCTGTAACAAAAAGTGGATCTGAAAAGAGGTCCACTTTAGAGATATTTAGGCATTGAAGTATATGTTCAGGAGTAGCTTGTTGGTCGTTACACTTAGTGCAAACAGGGAAAACTCTTGACTGAACAACATAGTTCTTAGGTGACCACTTCGAAATCTTGATATAATCTTGATATATCTGATCCCGCCTACTGCACTGAAGGGTCAGGCTGCCACCTGGGCGGTTGCACTGATACCAATGATGAACAGTTCTTTTATTTATCATGCAGTACTTAAATTTGACTTTTTAAATTTATTAAAAATATTTAAAAAATCACAATGATTAATAACAACTACTTACTTTTTCAAAACGATTGATATAAAATTGTGGATTAAAACTGAAAGGTTATAAATCCTATAAACTTATTTCTTATAAATTATAAATCTTATTTTAAAAAATACATAAAACTATGTCATTGATTCTTAAACGGAAAAAAAAATCAAGAGATTCTAATAATCCTTTAATGGTCTCCTAATTTTAAAGAAAACAGTCATAAAAGTGCCTATTTTTTGTTCGAGAAAATTATATAAAACTAAGTGCACGAACAATATATGTATTCATTTTATTTTTTTAGTTATTTTTTAGCTTGAAATAATGTTGAGAACCGACATCTAATTTAAAATAAATTATCCCTCAGCACATTACAAGTAGTTTCGTACTGCCATCTGTTGAATAGATTGAGAAGTAAACAATACACTGGGCATGAAAAATAGACAGTATTAATTTCTTGATTCATTAATGCTGAACACTCCGACCCAAAAATATAGCGGCCATAGGAAATAGATGGAGAAACTACACTCCATCGTTTTGACGCGAGCGAAAAGGAAAGGGTTAAATTCTGACGAAACATTATCGAGATCAATCGCTGAGAAGACTGGATTAAAAGCCTCAACAGCAGTCTGATTATTAGACTAAACTGAAAAATATGTTTGATAAACCTAATTGGTGTGGGGGGATGTGGAGCACCTTATCTATTGTAAAATATTGAATAATAAAAAAAAGTGATTACCATTTACGCCAAATAGTAAGATTTAACTAATGCTACAAACTATTTAAGGATTGCTTACATTTATACTATAACATATGTTATTCAATGTAACGTGCAAAATGATTTAAGCAGAAAATAATAGATTGCTCTTTATTGTTTCGTGACAATAGATATTGTTAAAGTTATTAAACAAAGTGTAAAACGTTACTGTGTTCTGAACATGTTCAATAACGTAAAAACAATTATAAGTTTTATATTTTACTACGTTTTCAAAAAGTGATCTTTAATAAAACATATTTTTACGATAATCACATCGTTGGTTTTTCCCTTTTAACCCTTTGACGCAGAATTTTTATTAAACACATTTTTTCACACATTTTTCATACCTTTTTCATTATTTCGTATTAATTTAGGTCAAAATAAGTAAAAAATATATTATATTTAGCATTTTAATAATTTTTGTGCACGAAATACAGCAATTGGACAACGGTGTCCTTTTTTTGCGTTAAAGATAAAATTATCCAAACATGGTTCATTTCTAAACAATAATTATTCAAATTTGCAACACTGAAGAAACACTAATTCATCAATGAAATTTTTTTTCAAACTACTTTTTTAGATTTTATATTTTAGAAGAAATATAGTTCCAAGAAATTAAAAGATTCTTTTAGTAACTATTAGACTGTTTTCCATAATTGAGAGAGACAAAAATATATATTTTACTTGCAATTAGAGCGTTATATATAAAAGGGTCACCGGTCCCATTTGTGCCAAATGATAAACGAAAAAGTATCCATAAACCAGACAGTTTCAACTCTGCGCTATATTAAGAAGTGTATTAAGACTGCTATTAAAATACAGTAAAACATGGAAATAATATGAACCTCAGCCCAGCTGTCAAATTAAGCATTTAGTTTATCAACAAAGCATCTGGCCTCTATTTGAATTGGTTTCGGTATTGTTTTCAAGTAGATTCAATTAGAGAAACAACCTCTTCAACGAAACTCTTTTTATGAATGAGACGTATTGAGATTTCAAGGCAAAAAGAACTCGACTTACATTGATACTAGAATTAAAAAGTATTATAATGTCACTAATTGTTCAAGTTTCATTGTAAACGAGAGTGTAATGTCATTAAGATGCTTTTAAAAACAACGGACTCAGTGATCCAGGCATGATTATGTTTTAATTTA